GATACAGGTGTGCCGTTTCGAAGGGACACATGCACCCCCATGTTTATAGCAGCCCTATCAACAATGGCCAAAATATGGAAAGAGCCCAAATGTCCACCGATGGATGAATAAAGAAGATGTGTATACATACACAATGGAGTATTACTCAGCAATCAAAAAGAATGAAATCTTGCCATTTGCAACTACGTGGATGGAACTGGAGGGTATTATGCTAAGTGAAATTAGAGAAAGACAAAAATCGTATGACTTCACTCATGTAAGGACTTTAAAAGACAAAACATATGAACATAAGGGAATGGAAACAAAAATAATATAAAAACAGGAGGGGGACAAAACAGAAGAGACTCATAAATATGGAGAACAAACTGAGGGTTACTGGAGGGGTTGTGGGAGGGGGGATGGGCTAAATGGGTAAGGGGCATTAAGGAGTCTACTCCTGAAATCATTGTTGCACTATATGCTAACTAATTTGGATGTAAATTAAAAAAAATTAAAAATAAAATTTAAAAAAAAAATAGGCAGAGGACCTGAATAGATATTTTCCAAAGACAACATCTAGATGGCCAACAGGCACATGAAAGACATTCAACATCACTAATCAGGGAAATGCAAATCAAAAATACGAGATACTACCTCACATTTGTCAAAATGAGTAGAATCAAAAAGACAAGAAATAACAAATATTGGTGAGGATGTAAATTGGTGCAGCCACTGTGGTAAACTGGATGGAGGTTCCTCAAAAACTTAAAATTAGAACTACCATATGAGCGGAGCACCTGGGTGGCTCTCAGTCGGTTAAGCATCTGAATCTTGATCTCAGCTCAGATCATGATCTCACAGTTCATGAGATCAAACCCTGCATCGGGTTCTGTGCTGATAGTGCAGAGACTGCTTGGGATTCTCTTTCTCCTTCTCGAGATAAATAAACATTAAAAAAAAAAAAAAAGGATACCATATGATCCAGTAATTCCACTACTGGGCATTTACCCAAAGAAAATGAAAACATAATACAAGAAGATATATGCATTCCTATGTGCATTGCAGGGCTATTTACAGCAGCCAAGATATGGAAGCAACCAAGTGTCCAATAAATAAATGGATAAAGATGCTGTAATGTACACATACACACACATGAATATTATTCAGCCATAAAAAGGAGATCTTGCCATTTGCAACACAGACTTCAAGGGAATTATGCTAAATGAAACGAGAGAGAAATATACCATGATTTCATTTATATGTGTAATCTAAAGAACAAAAACAAAAAACATGAACAGACCCATAAATACAGAGAACAAATGTGGTTGCCATAGGGGGAGAAGGGTGGGTGAAAATGGGTGAAAAGGAGATACAGGCTTCCAGTTATGGAATAAGTTATGGGGATAAAAGGTACAGCATAGGGAATATAGTCAATAACATTGTAATACCATTATATGGCAACAGATGGTAGCTACACTTACAATGAAGATAACATATAAACTTGAACCACTACGTTGTACGCTTGAAACTAACATTGGATGCCAACTATACTTCAATTAAAAAAAAGAATTAAACTCATAAAATCTCTCAAGTGACTACAAAGTAATGACCAAATAACATCTGCCTTACTTATTCTGCAGTTCAACAAGTGCTTTTCAAATTCAAAATGTTACGTAAGTATTACATTATACAGCTCTTAGTGAATGTGCATAACCTTATACCATAAGAATAAAGGGCTCTAAAAATCTTAAATTCTGTAATCGCAATTATTTTCAATATTCACACATCTGTCTGTAATACTGAAATAATAGGGAATAAAAGGTACAGCATAGGGAATATAGTCAGTGATACCATAATCACACTGTACAGTGAGTTAGTAGCTACACTTGTAGTGACCTTAGCATAATGTATAGAGACGCTCGATCACAATGTTGCACACCTGAAACCAATGTAACATTTTGTATCAACTCTATGCACATTAAAAACAATTTTTAATACTGAAATATAATTAATCAGAACATATTTTACCCAATGTATTTAAATCCTGGCTTTGTTATATAGTGGTTTTGTAAATGGTACCAATTATACTTTGTTGAGTTTTATTGTCATTTAGAAAATGAAGGTAGTATTTAGCTGGAAGCTGAGCATTACATAAATGAGCATAGTTCAAAGTGCCTCATTTTGTAGTGTTTCCTACACCAGGTATTGTTCTAGGTGTTGAGGATATGATCCTAAGTGACAAACTGTTACAAACAAGTTTCCTGTCCTCACAGAGGAAGAGAAGCTGGCTAAAGTGACTGAGGAGATCTGGGAGGAAAACTAGACCAGCCATGGCATCACAAAAGCCTTTAAAATAGTTTCAAAAAAGAGGAAATGTAAAAAATGTACTTGGGACTGACTAAAAAGGGGCACAAGGATTTTGAAATAAGGAAAACATTTATATCATGATTTAAGAGGTGTTTTCATAACTGTTTATATTTGCCAAAACTCATTAAAATGTACACATAAACTAGGTGATTTTTACTCTATGTACATTATACCTCAATAACTCTGATTTCTGAAAGATGTGAAATATTTTTGAAAAAGGTAGGAGAGCTGTTCTAGATGAAAGGATACTAAGGAGGTGTGAGAAAGGGATGTATTATATGATATTTGACTGGATTTTGTACCCCTCCCCCAAAAAAGCTAAAAGGATTTTTTGGAGGCAAATATGGAAATCTGAATATGGACTATATTAAAACGTATTGTATCAATGCTAAAAAAGAAAATCATGAGAAAATACATTTACAATGGTGTACTGTACTGTATTAAAACAAACAAACAAAACAACAAAAAAAAACCATCGCATGTAAGTGGACCTGCGCAGTTCAAACCATGTTGTCCAAAGGTCAACTATACGTTATAAGCAGCTGGAATCAGGTCTTGGGCTTCTTTCACATACTGATGCCCTCCCAAAAAACTTGTCTTTAGTGTATAGTTTCTCAGTCTCAACACTACTGACATTTTGCACCAGATAAATCTTTGTAGGTGATCTTGTGCTTTATAGGATTTTTAGCAGCATCTATGGCCTCTACCCACTAGATGCCAGGAGCACCGCACTGTCAGCATAATAAAAAATAACTGTGGACATTGCCAAATGTCTCCTGGGAGGCAAAATGATCTCCAACTGAGAACTACTATTCTAGTGGATGCTGGGTTCAGTAAGTACATCCTGATTGCTCATGTGTCAAGGAGGAACACTTATACCATCATCAAAGTAATGGAACGGGAAGCAAGGGACTTCCTATGGTGTTTTCTATATGCCCAACTCTTTATATAAGCAGTTATAAAGAACACGCAATACTGACAACTCTCAAATTCAACCACCTCTTTTATAAAACCTTCACCAAGGCTGTCAAGAAAAACGAATGTCACATTCCCATTTTAGCTTTGTTTATTACATCAACAAAGAAATAACCAGGGTCACCTGGGTGGCTCAGTTGGTTAAGTGTCCAACTTTAGCTCAGGTCATAACCTCGCGGTTCATGAGTTCAAGCCCCACAGTGGGCTCTCTGCTATCAGCATGGAGCCTGCTTTGGATCTTCTGTCCCCCTCTTTGCCCCTCTCCAGCTTTCTGGTGTTCTCACAAAAATAAACAAACATTAAAAAAGCAAACAAACAAATAACCAATCTGAGAAAACTTTTGACTACACATTAATGTTTATTTAGAAAATATTCACCAATTATACTTTAGTTGTCTCCTTCTAGAGTCTTTATTCTAATACTCGTGATTCTCTAGGAATTCCTCCATGCATCTCAAGCTTTTGATATTTTTCATTATATATTCAGAGATGCACAGACATATAGATACATAAGTGGAACACATTTAAGTTATCCTCAAATACAAATTGGTTCAGCTAGGAAATGGGTAAAAACAGGCTAAAGTGAATATATGTTCTATAATGTTCTTTTCTCCTCTTTGGTAAAACAATATTTTATGAAGAAATAATGAAACATGGGCTGGATCTTCCTGAACATGTAATAACCAACTCTTGCCCATAAAGCAATGTCTCTTGGCTAGATATTTGGTTGGCAGTCACTTAAAAATTAAAAAATAAATTTAGGAAGAGCCTGACTGGCTCTGTTGGTTAAGCGTCCAACTCTTGATTTCGGCTCAGGTCATGATCTCACTCGATTGTGAGATCAAGCTCCATGTCAACCTCTGTGCTGGCTGCATAGAGCCTGCTTGGGATTCTCTCTCTCCCTCTCTCTGCTCCTCCCCGGCTTGTGTTCTCAAAATAAATGGGCATTTTAAAAAAAATAAATAGACTAGACCTCTCTGGAAAACTCTAAGTGCCAATCTCTTTTTCAAAATCTAAGCCTGGTTATAGTTCTTTAATGTTGTTGATCACTACAAATTGCTACAAATATACAAAGATATGGTTTTGGGGCACCTGGGTGGCTCGGTCAGTTGAGCATCCAACTCTTGATTTTGGCTCAGGTCATAATCTCAGTTTGTGAGTTCAAGCCCCATGTTGGGGTCTGCACTGACAGCTCAAGGCCTGCTTGGGATTCTCTCTCTCCCTCCCTCTGTACCTGCTTCCCTCTCCCTCTCAAAAATAAATAAAATTTTAAAAAAGGTTTCCATTATTATAAAATTTTCCTAGAAACAACTTTGGAAAGAGAAAGGAAATTCAAAATAATGCACAGTAATTATATGTCTAGGGCATATAGCCTTCATGCTATAGGGCAGTGTTTCTCAAAAGAGTGTAGGAGGTGAATTGTACCTCCAGGAGACATCTGGCCATTTCTGGAGACAATTTTCATTGTCAACACTGGCATGGGGTGGGGTCGAGGCAGTGCTACTAGCATTTAGTGGGTGGAAACCAGGGAGGCTGTTCAAATAACCTATAATGTACAGGATACTCCTCACAACAATTATCCAACCCAACTGTCTACATTTAGGAAACGTAGAAATGTACACACACACCCTTCAATTGAAAGATAAACACACACACAAAAATTTAAATACACACACTTACATTAATTTGCTGTTTTTCAACAAGAATATAACTTAGATTACATTTTTTCATAAAATGAGTTGACAACGCTGGTGGTGCATCTGGATCAATAGGAGCATAAGCAGCAGGGACTTGGAGAATTCTAAATAAAGAGTACAGAACAGCATTTCTTCAGCATAGAAGATCTGTTGAAAATCATCTTTAAGTATTTCTATTTCCCTGTGTACTTTACCAACGACTACATCAGAAATGCCAATGTTTTTGTTGACACATTGTTGCTTATAGTTATTTCTATTTTGTTTTTAAGGCAGAATATCCACCATTAAATTTTTATCACTTTAAGATCCAAAATCAGTTAGTTGTTTTAACTAAAAGTACTCTGAGGTAAGGGTGCTGGTCTGGCTCAGTCAGTAGAGCACAAGACTCTTGATACTGGGGTTGTGGGAAATCAAACCCCAAACTGGGTGTAGAGATTACTTAAAAATAAAATCTAAAAAAAGTACTTTCAGGTATACTTTGGGGACAATGGATTTTTGCACATAGTAAATTTTCAATAAAATTTTTTCAATGATTGAATGGAAGCCAAATTTTAACTTTTTTTGCTTTACATTTATACATTAATCTACTAACACACATATTATGGGATGAACATCAACTTTTCTACTTCTTTAATAGCTTTTATTTACTGTAGAACCCTAGTACAGAAATCACTATATAAGGATAATATTCTATAACAACTTAATGATGAACATTTTGCAAATAATAATTAGTGTCCTCAGTCCATAGCTCATTTTTTTATGAACCAACATCCAAAACTTCACTTATTCATTCATTTACTGAATACTTTGAATACCTAAACTTCAGTCTCAGGAGAAAAAATAGTCATGTTATTTCTGAAATACTTGTTTGCTTTGATATAACAAATTTATGACCATTTTCTTTTGGTAGACAAATGAAGCCCTTATATTTTGGAGATACTTAAATATTCTATTAATGAAAATTTCCTGTCTCCTAAATAAACTCAAATCAATTAAATGATTAAAAATAATTGTTGGGAAATACGAACTTCTTTAGCCTCTCTAAAATTGATCAAGCAACACTATTCTGTATACTATTGTATTTTTATGTAAGATACAACATTCTATGTATTAAAGAATTATAAATTAGGTTAGAAAACTAAAAATTCAGTATTAAAATAATTACCCTAAAATCCAAGAGGGTAAGTTAATACCAGGATGGCAGTAGAGACCAACTTCCCGAATTCCTTGAAAGTCACAGTGTAATAGTAGAAAATTTGATAATTCTGAAGCAGCATGAACCACAGACTTATAGGTGTAATAAACTGGAGGCTGGTTGTTACACTCATCAAAACATACAGCTATTTTATCTGAATAAATGGAGGCAGCCCGATGTACCAATTCCTGAAGAGTCATTTCACTGGTTTATTGAAGCCTCATTGGTAGCAGAGAACTCCACCTATATACAGAAATATTATGGGGATAGGGAGTTTTAGGGAACATGGCAGGGTGAAAAAGGGAGAAACTTCAATACAAATCATTCCTCACAAAAACAACTATATCAAAAACATAATTAATCTCTGAATTTAGGAAGTATCTATGTTGAGAACAAGGAGTTGAAAATTAATCTGATACTATCAACCTAACACTAGGTCTGAGCTGGAAGAAAATTTGGGAGAGGAGTGGTATACACAGATGAGAATGAAACAGGTAGAAATGTAGAATTCTCTCTCAACTTACCACAATGTAAAAAATGCATATAAAAAATTAACCAATAAAACCCACTTTAGGGGTGTCTGGGTGGCTCAGTTAAGTGTCCAACTTCGGCTCAGGTCATAATCTCGCGGTTCATGGGTTCAAGCCCCGTGCTGCACTCTGTGCTGACAGATCAGAGCTGGAGCCTGTTTTGGATTCTGTCTCTCCTTCTCTCTCTGCCCTTCCCCCACTAATGCTCAGTCTCTCTATCTCAAGAATAAATAAACATTAAGGAAAAAAAAAACCAATTTAAAGCACTACATGCTTAATTTTCTTTTCATTTTTCTCTGGTTTCCATCCCAGATTAAGATAAAGTAGTTAAAATCCTGCAAAATGTCTTTGAAGAGATTAATACAAGTAAACTATACTTTTGGAAACTGAACTTAGGTGAAAGCAAAGTCAACCTTTGGTAGAAAAAAGGAAAATCTATCTAAATCGATCCAATTTTAGTCCACTGTATATAAACTATGATATTATTTAAGACTTCAGAGGTCACATCAAGTCCCTTTTGTAATTGTTGAATAAGCTCTTTATCCTCTAGTTTTGTTTTTTTTTAATGTTTATTTTTGAGAGGGAGCAAGGGAACCCACACGCACACACAGATGCACGAGCAGGGGAGGGGCAAAGAAAGAGGGGGACAGAGGATCTAAAGCAGGCTCTGTGCTAACAGCAGAGAGTCTGATGTGGGGTTGAAACTCATGAACTGGAAATCATGACCTGAGCCAAAGTTGGATGCTTAACTGACTGAGCTACGTAGGCACCCCAGAGTAGAAATAGTAATTCATCAAACCAAACCAAACCAAACCAACAAACAAAAAAACCCTTTAGGGATCACTGATTTAAAAGAAACAATTACTACTTTTTCCTTGAAAGGCAAGGTGATTTTTTTCTCTTCTGTGAACTCTTTTCCATATTTCAAAAGCAAATGAGATTTACCCAGTAGCCTATTTTAATTATTCAAGTTTATTTGTTCATATTTATTTGAACTGATTTCATTACTAATTCAAAATAAAATTAACCAGGTTGTCTGAGTGGCTCAATTAGTAAAGCATCTGACTCTTGATTCCAGCTCAGGTCATGATCTCACAGTTCATGGGACTGAGCCCCTTGTAGGGCTTTGTACTGACAATGTGGTTGCTTGGGATTCTCTCCCTCTTAAAATAAACTTTAAAGAAATAAAAATAGAGGAGCCTGGGTGGCTCCGTCAATTAAGCATCTGACTACATCTCAGGTTATGATTTCCTGGTTCGTGAGTTTGAGCCCCATGTTGGGCTCTGTGCTGGCATCTCAGAGCCTGGAACCTGCTTCAGATCCTGTGTCTCCCTCTTTCTCTGTCCCTCCCCGACTTGCACTCTGTTATTCTCTCTCCAAAATTAATAAATAAATAAATAAACAAACATATAATTTTTTAATTAAAAAA